CGAACAGTCATTGATTAGTATTCGTTGTGTACGATTGATATTTAGACGTTGATGATGCAGTTCGTTCAAGATCATTGTTTAATATTCGATATTTCCACCTCTTCCGAATATTCGCTGAATGTTGTGGAACGTCTCATTTTGTAGGAAAGCTTCTGCTCTACAAAACTAAATTAAAATAAAAAGTTCGTCTCTCCGTTTCACCGGTTTTAGGAAAAGATTTTTTGAAAAATAAATTTCTGAAAAACGCTAGAATCCTATCTTTACAAAAGTCTAAACACACAGATTACACTCAAACAAGCAGACTGTCTTGACACATATATTTTCATTTAATTTATTTCAGGCAGCGCTCAGCCGACTATGTCTGTTTTTCTCAAGTGTTTGCTTGTGTACGCCGTTCTACTGGCATCAATTATTTACGCTGACTGTGGAAGACGCAAGGGTTACATTGTCGAATTTAAGGCTAGTATTAGTAGGAAATCGTTTCTGAATCATTTAACAAGCAAGATGGGGTCAACTATCAAAGTACGTCAACACTACACAAATCCAATATTTTATGGAATGGCGTTCGAATCCGACAACAGTACGTTCGATGAGACGATGATTAGCCTTCACCCGATGGTAGCCGATATGTGGCCCATTCGAACATTCAAACCTGCTGCTGCTATAACACAAAAGGGTGGTCAACCAAATTTAGCTTTTGCTCATTTACTGACACAAGTAAATGCCGTTCACAAAAGGGGCATACGTGGTAAAGGCATCAAAATCGGTGTCATTGATTCAGGCGTCGATTACAAGCATCCAGCTCTTGGAGGATGTTTTGGTATAGGATGTAGAATAGCCTATGGTTACGATTTGGTAGGTGACAAGTACGATGGCACCAATACACCTGTGCCTGACAAAGATCCCATCGATAATTGTCCTATTCCATCTCTTGGTCACGGCACACACGTCACAGGTATAATGGCGGCGAAAGAAACAAACCTGACCGGCGTTGCACCTGATGCCACTTACGGCATGTGGCGAATATTCGGCTGCCAGGGTTCATCGGGAAATGATGTTATTATTCAAGCTCTAATTCAATCATACGAAGCTAATATGGATATAATCAGTTTATCATTGGGTAACCCATACGAGTGGCAAGAAGATATCACATCGGTTGTGGCGGATAGAATCGTCCAACGCGGATGTTTGGTAGTTGCAGCACAAGGCAACGGTTTCTTTTCTTCTTCAAGTGTCACAGCTGGAAACAGCCCTGGTGCCGGTCACGGCGTTGTATCTGTCGCCTCGTTTGATAACGCCAAGATTGTGACCAGCGTGTTCCGTGTCGGCAATACAAGTTGTAGTTATGCTGGACCATTGGCTTACCCATATCAGCCTCCGTTTCCCAACTTAGAAATTGTACCGACAGCTACGGCGCTCGACGCTAATAGTGACTTGTGTAGTAAAGTCGAAAACAACGTGACAGGGAAGATTGCCCTTGCTTATCGAGGCACATGTAGCCAAGGCGCCCAAGCACTCCTAGCTCAAGAGCAGGGCGCCAAGGGTTTGCTTCTCTACAACTATGTTGGTGAGCCAGCATTCTTCCCATTATACGTTGATCCGCGTATCCAAATCCCCGTGGGAGGTATCAGTCATTCCGATGGTATTGCTCTCTTCAAGCTTAAAAATATGAAAACTGTAGCAATATTTAACAAAAACTCCTATTTATACCCGACTCTGACTAACAGTGGTCATATATCTTACTTCTCCAATCTTGGTCCACCCAATGAACTCCAGTTAAAACCAGATTTGGGCGCTGTCGGTGGTCTTGTCTATTCAACAGTGCCTCTTAAGTTGGGTGGGTACGCCACCTACTCGGGAACGTCCATGTCGACGCCGTATGTGAGCGGCTCATTCGCCTTGTATCTTCAAGCGAAAAAAATGTCGAGAAAAACAAATTTCAATCCTCTTTCAGTGATCCAGAAATTTCAAAATTATGCTAAAGTGACCACAGTTAGTGTCACCGATAAATCAATCGAAACACCCCTACGTCAAGGAGCCGGTTTGGTTCAAGTTGCTGACACTATCAACAGTGATACAATCGTCCGTCCGGGTAAAATAAGTTTCAACGACACTCAGCACTTCAAAAAAAAACACACGTTATACATTAACAATATAGGCAAAACAACGCTCAAATATACGATCTCTCACATACCGGCTCGCACAGTTTCGCCGTATGATCGAGCATCGACAGGCTACGCTGTCCAAACGCCGTTTGCCTATTCTAAATCGAACGCCAGTGCCAAACTCACATTTTTGCCTGGATCGGTTAGCGTTCGTGCGGGGAAAACCACACAAGTGAGCTTCACTGTTGAACCACCCAAACTCGATCAAAAAGATCATGACCTCTACGGTGGTTACATTGTTGTGAAACCAAACAAAGGAGTGGCAGTGCACATTCCATATATCGGTGAAGTTGGGAACCGATATGATTTGCCTATACTAGATCGTAAATCCTTTCCATATTTGAGTAAAAGAGGCAATAGTACAGCTATCACAAAATTTCCGTACACATTCAATAGATGGAGCAATACTACTCAACCACAAGTAAACATTATGTTTTTGAGCGGGACAGCTCGATTTCGCATCGACATTGTGAACAGCAACGGGAGCGTCATCGGTGTTATGGTTGAAGATCGTTATTTGCCTGCGGTACCGATCAGCGGAGATCCTTACTATATATATATTTGGGATGGTACGTTACTCACATCGCTTAGCTCCGTTCGTTCTTTAGTCGGAGCCGGTATATTTAAAATGAAAATCAGTGTTCTGAGAATATTCGGAAATCCATCGAGCGCAAATAACTATGAAACATGGATATCGTCGCCGATCAAAGTGACGTGATATGCTACGCACATTAAAATAAGTATTTAAATTTTGTTCGTTTTATCATTAATAGCTTCTGTAGTGAAAACATTATTTACCATTACAATTCCTACATATTCAATTTCTTATGACAATTTGTGAGCGTACACAGACTCCACAGAGTTTTGGATTTGGAGACTCGAAAGTAACTTGGCTAAGATCAGTTTTCGATGCGGAATCGAATGAGACCAGACTCGAGTCTCTAGGACAACCGCGAAGAAACGGCAAAGGATTTCCGAAAAACGAGCGAAAAGGGC